AAAAAAAAAGAAAAAGACAAAATAAAGCCAGAAAGGTGAACCAGGTCGACAGGTCAAATTGATTTCTTGTCCTAGTGCGTAGGGGTTGGACAGAGTCGTCAGAAAAAGAATTATTAAGCACGAGAGCGCAACTGATGTGTGCGAACACATAGTGGTGCTTATCATTGTTGCACGGAATGTCGTGTATAAAGCTGTGTTGTTTCGAGATTTTCAAAAGCACTGTTACAGCCTAGAGTGCAGATTACGCTTCAATTGTAGTGCTATATATGGCACAACTAAGAGGCCTGTTTTATTGAATAAGAAGAATAGAAGTGAGACAGATGCTTTAAAATTCTCATCATGGCTGCATGGACACACACACGTAACGTGTGTGTCCATAATTGTGTCGAGCAACTCATGTGTTTGAAGTATTTGTATGGAAAAAATATTTCTCTGCGTTCACAGACACGTCCTACAGAAACTAAAAAATTGCACACGGTTAAGCACAGGGCAAATTACTGGCGTATATACTGGTGTACTGGTGTAATTATTTGTAGCAGCCTGTTTGCACTAGAAAGAACAGGGAGGGGGGCTCACTCGCAATTTTATGGTATTTGCACTGATAAGTATTCAGGTTACTCACACCCATACTTTATTCCCATGCACATACACTTACAACGAAGAGTATTCCCTCTACTCCTCCCTTCAGTACTCACCCATTTGGCCCGCATGCTACTACTCAAAGCAAAGAGTGTTCACTCATGTTCATGCTCGAATCTACTCACATCACTCGTCACTCACTCATACTCACATTCTCTCACTCAAGTCATGAGTATACTCTAATAAAAGAGCGAGTAAAAAGGGTGTCTCTTGTCCCACAACAATATTCGTCATCTATATTGCGTTCAATCCTTGCGCTATCGCCCCGTGCCCGGTACATTCCGGTCACGATCAACATGCCCATTATCAAGGTTTCATTTGGTTCTCAATCGGAAAGTGGCCAGCGCCGAGTTTTCAAGAAAGGAAGCGCACGCAAGCCTGATGACAATTATTGTAGTGGGACAAAAAGACACCCTTTTCACTCGATATTTTTTAGAGTGTATAGTCACTCGCATTCAAGTTCACACTGATTCACACTCATAGACACATTCTCACGTTCATGCTACATGCGAAATCGCGCACGCGTGTAAGTAATCACTACTCAGCTTTCCTCGTGCCGTTTGTCACTCACTCATGTTCATACTTGTGCTTTTCAAAGAATTGAATGCGTGCACTTACAAGTGAGTATGCCAAGCTAGTTTCCACAATTTTTTCAGGTACATAGCAATGACTGCAAAAGCTTCAAACCAATATAATTGAGTTTCGTATACAAACAAATATCTATGTGATAAGATATTTGTTTAAGAGTAACCAATCTATGTGTAGAGATCGGTTATTCTCAAGCTTGAAACGTGGTCTGTAGGGGACATGACATAGTGCGAGTTTTATGTCCCTAAGCTCTGGTTGAGCGGGAACATAAAATTACTACTTAAACTCTTCTAGCAGCACAATAACACAGACATCAAAGACTCCTTGCCATAAAGTGACTTCATGAAAGCTGTTTTATATGTCTTATAGTTCTGTTATTGAACTTCTTATATTATGAGTATGCCAACATTGACGTTAATTAAAGCAGACTAGTGGCCTGTAGGATTTCATAACTGCGAAAACTCCCATTTACCTATCGGTATTCCTTAAGCAGTATTAGGCAGTATTTTTTATATTAGAACAAGATTGTGTAGCGAGAGAGGAAAACGGGACAGCGGCCAACGTGGTCGTGTCGTTCTCTCGCCACTTAATTATCCAGGGCGATTGCAGAAGCGGAGCGGTGGCGGCTGCCACGTCCGAACCGCCAGGCACGTGAGCTCGATCTCGTGAGCTCGCGCCTCGAGCTGTTGCATCAGCTGCACGAGAAGCGCAGCGTGGTGGCTAGAAAAATGACGATGATGATGAATGGCGATGATGATGACGCTACAGATTATTCCCCCCCCCCCCCGCAGAAATGAAGCCGCAATGAAAATAATGAGAGCGTGTATACAAGCGAGTTAGGTTTGCAAAACGAAACGGTGTCCGTGAGCAGTCCAGGTCGTCAACTGGAAGGGACAATCGGCAACCAGTTGGTCTCTGGCGGGCGACACTGGGAATGGCGCAGCGGACGAGGGTGGCTACGCAGGCACGCTGTTGGAAGGAGCGGGCGAGGGTCGTGATGAAGAGACACTTTTGTCAATAGCGAGTACCAACGACAAGGTGAAAAACGGTCAAGGGCCGAGAACACACACGGGCCGTTTCGGTGCGGTCGATATTCGCGCGCACTCGGACACTGATGCTTAAAAGATGGACTGTAGCATGAGCGTAGTACGGCCAGTCCAGACAGTCTAGTGTTACTTCCTTGTTGGAGCTGGTGGGAACGTCGAGAGGGAGTGCGGTCAACCCTGGTAGTGTGTTTACCGTGCTGGTACCGTCGCTTCCGGTGGCACATTATCGGCTGCGGTGGCCGCCTGGTCGGCCGAGTAGGGTGCAGATAAGTTGGAAACGGTGCGCTTTGAACCAATGAAGTGCGACATGGTTTACAGTGATAACGAGCCGGCTCAGAGGGCATTGATAGATTGCTTTTTCCGACCTTTGACAATGTGTAACGCGTAGGCGTACACTGATGAGTCGTCGCATTGTTCGAGCTACAACCGACGTTTGGTGATGCGAGATCGAGCGACGGGTATGTGGTGTCACAGTTGTCATGGGCCGTCGATGGCGTTGAAATGCTCAAGCACGTGTACGTATTGGTAGGCGGATGGTTTAACTGCGCATCTGTTGGGGCATGCACGGTGTGCTCCACCTGTGGTGAGCCAGGCGTGCGGCCCTCGGGATTTCCTGACATCGTCACAGCATCATGCACGTTCAGCCGTGCATGCTCAGGGGCTTGAACTTCTGTAGGATACATCGAGGATGATGTTAGTAGGTGCTGGCAGTCCACAAGGTTTTGAGCAGCAGGCAACGGTGTGCAGGGGAAACTGATGGCGTGCAGTGTCACAGCGGGCTCTGGGTCCTTAGTGAGAGTGGTGTCGCGGGCCTCCACAGGTGCCGGGATAGGCGGGGAGTCTGCAGGAAAGTGAGCTGGCCCAGCTGAGGTTCTCGAATCGCCCGGGACACAGTTCAGCCGAGCAAGTCTGTGCAGCGAATGCGACGGTGAACGGTGCAGAGGCCGGTGTCGAATCTATGTGGCCAGTTGCCTGCAGGGGAATGGTCTGGATTGGTTGTGGCGCGAGAGGCGTCCTGCAAGGTGAAGAGCTCGGTGCAGTTGTGTCATTTTTGGGAGGAGGAGCATGTTTAAGGCCGTAAAACTTGAGCACGGCATCTCGCAAGTGATCGTACGGGCGAGGGCTCCAGGAGAAGTATGTGAGGTGGTGTTTGAGGTCATGTGGAAGATGGTATTCCAACACTTCGTACATGAGCTCTTGGATCCAGATGCCATTGTGATACAAGGCCGCCGCAAACTCCTCGAACCACGACTCTAGGCGAGAGGTCCAGAACGGGGGCAGTGGCGGGTTGAATTGAGGCTGCCAGGCTTGTGCTGACTTGAACATGGCCGCGTAGCTCGGTGGCAGTAGTGCAGCGCCGGTCGCTTGTTCTTGTGTCCGTGGTCACCAATGTAGTGAGAGAGTAAGACGGGCCAGGGGCCAACGTGGTCTGTCCTCTCGCCACTTTATTATCCAGGGTGATTGCAGAAGCGAAGCGGCGGCGGCTGCCACGTCCGAACTGCCAGGCACGTGAGCTCCATCTCCTCAGCTCGCGCCTCGAGCTGTCGCATCAGCTGCACGAGAAGCGCAGCGTGGTGGCTTGAAAAATAACGATGATGATTAATGGCGATGATGATGACGCTACAAATGTTATGAGACCATACTCAGCCAACCTAAGTCACATTGACGCACTAAATTTCTGCCTAAAAGACCTCACAAAACTTATCTCAGAGCTCGTTTGAGTTTACCAAGTGTGAGTGTTCTCAATATAGTGGCACTGTAATATCAGCGTCAAATGAAACCCGAAAAGCGGAGAGCGTGTTTCAAGCATTAGAAACAGTATAGTGCTGGCCGTCCAGTCATCACCACTGACAGGCGTGCACATCCGGTTTGGCAGCACTGCATGATCCCCATAGAGTCCATTATCTCCGTTTGTGCCCTAGTTTTCGTGTGGTGATAATGGTGGCGATTATGGGCGTGCCAACCGCTTTTGAGCGTATCACTCGCAATTTCTTGCTTTTACTTCAGCGTCGCAGTGCAATCAATGTGTTGGCAAGATAAAACAAAAAGAGAAATACAATCGGTTTGCGGTTGATTTTCAAATGATCGTCGTATCTCATTCACCAGCACTGCTTGACTTGCACTCTTGCAAGGTTTGTGCAAGGTTGTGCACCTTGGACTCTTTCAAGGTCGGTGCATCGTTGCAAGGTCGTGCAAGGTTGTACAAGGTCAGTTGGTGCAGGCGCAGTGCGCAATGAGAGATAAGTTGCTCTTTATTTCTTTGTGTTTGTGAACACCATTGGTATCTTTTTTCCTAATCAATAATTGGCGTTGCGAGTACTGTAGGTGTGGTACACGGACAACGTTGTAGTGACGTTAACCACGTGAACGGGGTAAGCGGCTGTTTTTAAGAAGTTAGGAGCACCCGGTTAGTTGTTAAACAGCTAGAGCAGAACACGAAGGGGACCTGGTGTTATGCTACTAGTGAAATTGAACACGTATGTGTGCGGTGTAGGCGGCAGCTTCTGAGGTAGGAGAGGTAACGATGCCGGCTGGATAGCGGGATTAGGGTTGAATGTAGGGCTGTCGGGCACTCGGTTTGATGGTCAGGCGGGCGATGGTAAGCATGTTAGGAAAAGCACGAGCGAGAGTTAGCTGGTGCAGTGCGAAGAATGCAAGCGCTAGTGCTACTTAGATGAGACAGCATTCACGAGCTTGGCCGACGCGCAGAAGGCGAGATTCGTGTGCATGGTGTGCGAGGCACTGAAGGCGGCCGTGCAGCGCACGGAGGCTGGCATTGAGGGGCCTCAGGGGGAGCTTAGGGCGGAACAGGAGCAGAGAATAGAACTCCAAAAACAGCTCGGAATGTCGCGTGAGCAGGAGGAGGCTACCGCCCGCCTATTAGAGCAAATGAACGGCGAACTTTGAAAAGAGTGGGAAGGGTGGACCAAGCTTGAGCAGCAGGTGATGGCGCTTTGCACCGGCCCCAAGCGGTGTGAGACAGAAGGCATGGATAGCAGAGAAGGTGACAGGCTGGAAGGAACAGGTTAGAAGGGAGATCAGGGGGCCGCAGTGTCTGGACACAGCATGGAGGCCCCGAGAACACGCAGCTCGGTGGCGCGACAGTCTTCGAGCAGGACAGGAACATAGGACAGACGGCTGAGAGGGAAACAGGTGAAGCGAACAGGGGCGTCATCACAAACAGGAAGCCAGTGATCGGAGTGTAGAAGGGTCCTCGTGGTGGGGGACTCTAACGTGGCCAGGGTTAGGGATGGCGCCTTCAAGACAGTGAAGGATGATGGAAGAGTGGGGGTGGAGGCCCAGTCAGGGAAGGGCATGGTGAAAGTACTGGCCAAAGCTCAGGAATTCGTAGAGGACAGCATGGAGGGCGAAAATCTCGTCATTATTCTTGCTGGACTCAATGATATGTTGAAGGGCAAGGATCAGGACCGTCAAAGACAGTTAAAAGATGGAATGCGTAAGCTCCGAGAATCCTCTGGGAGTGTGCATGTGACCATATGCACATTCGCAAAGGTCTGGGGGCAGTCTTGTGAAATTGAAAGGAGGGTAGCGGAGGCTAACCGTGTGATCAAGGGTATGAGCCGGCAACCTGGATACAGCGTAATGGAGGTGAACCAAGACGTGTACGAGCCCGGTGCTCACCCCTTTGCACAGGATGGCATTCGCTACAGTGGTGCGACGAGCAGGAGGGTTGGTAATAGGATGGGTCGTCAAGCAACAGCTTTTTTAGGGGGGCCCAGAGCTGTGAGGCCAACAGTGTAGCCGAAAATGGTTCAAAGGGCACGAATATTCGAGCCACATGGAGTCCGTGGGAGAAGAAATCGACGTAAGCACATGGGCTGTGCTATGTCAGACATAGGCTATATTAACATGCAAGGTGGCAGGAATAGGTTAAAGTGGGAAGAGATAGAAGAGCAGTTAAGGAAGGAGAAACTGATGGTATATGGGGTTGTGAAGACACATCTTCGGGACATGGAGCAACCACCTTGCAGTGCGGACTACGTATGGGAATATTGTAATGAAACAGAAGTCAGCAGAAAGGGGGTGGTATTGGGGTATTCATTCATAAAAGTACCGACTGGCAAAGGGTCAAGCAGGAGTGCAAGGAGCATTTATGGCTAAAAGGGAACGTGGCAAGGCAAATGACACTCCTTGGTTTGGTGTACTTATGGATGGGAGCGAAGGCCGAAAGGGAAAAGCAGGCATTGGTTGAGTGTATATAAGAGGACGCTGAAAAATTAGAAGGAGAGTGCGAGATATTTATACTAGGAGATATGAATGCGCACATAGAAGATATAGATGGGTATACTGACTCAACAGGCAAAATGATTATAGATATGTGCGAAAGGCACGATTTTCTCATTTGCGACAGTACTAAAAAGTGTGAAGGGCTAATAACATGGGAGGTAGGAAGGCTGCAGTCTACGATAGATTATGCACTGTTATCACATAGGATGTATGATAAGTTCAGGGGAATGCACATAGATGAAGGTGGCTCCATAAGTATGGATAGTGATCACAAACGTATCAAGCTAAATTTTGGAAGAGCAGTGAAAGTGGGAAGGAGACAAGATGAGCAATTAAAGGAAAATTTTCATTATAAAAGGCAAATAGCAAGTGCTACTAAACGAATTGAGAAATAAATCACTGAGGATAATAAAACAGTGTGGACATAAACAAATCTACTTAGAATGTTCGAGCTAGAGCTTGCTAAGGCACGTCACAAGTCACCCCAGAAAAGAAGACACAAGCCCAAGAGTTGGTGGGATGAGGAAGTTAGAGAGCCATAGCAAAACGTCAGGAAGCCTTTAGAGAACACAGACATGCTAAGCAGCGGGGCGAACCAACAGATGATGTTGAAAGAAAATGGGTAATCTTTCTAAGCTGTAGAAAGTATGCATCCCTTCTGATCGATGAAAAGATTAGGCGAATGGTAGCTCAGTGGCTGGCAGAAGTACACAAAAAGAATATAAAGGCAGCTGCGAAATTTCGGAACCATCTAAACTCTTTAAGAAATGAAACAAGCCTAGAGCAGAGGTTTATAACAACAGCTAAAGGTGCTAGGCTAGACGGTGGCGAAGCTATTGAATATGTAAGAACAAGGGTGTCAGAAAAATTGCAAAGAAGTGCCTTATGCACCACAATAAACAAGGATAGATCAAGTGGCGCAATTGATCCAGTTTCACAATCAGAGTGGGAAAGCTGAAAAGAGCGTTCCAAGTAGTACATCAACAGGCCCAGATGGCATTCCAATTACGCTGATAAAGACATTGGGTCCGAAGTCTGAACAGACTTTGAGAGAGGCACTAAGCAGAACAATAATCGATGGTGAAATTCCCGATGGATGGAAGCTTAGCAGGATGAGCATGACCTATAAAGGAAAGGGGCACAAATCTGACATAAGCAACTACCGTCTTATAACAGTGATATCAGTGGTCTACAGATTGGCGATGCAGATTATAAAGGAAAGACTGCAGGCATGAATAGAAAATGATGGGTACTGGGATAACTGCAAAATGTGTTTCGGAAACACAGGAGGTTGGAAGACAATCTGTTCTCACAGACGCAGTGCATCGAAATAGCAGAAAAGGAACTAAGGCCCCTGTGGCTAGCATTTTTGGATATCAAGGAAGTCTAAGACAGCGTGGTTCAATAGGACTTGTGGGGAATACTAGATAGACTAGGTGTAGAAGATGGAGTCACTAATATTTTAAAGGAAATCTATAAAATTGACAAGGTAGTTATAAAGTGAGAAAAACAGGTATCCAAGCCCACAGAGGTGAAACGGGAGCTTCGGCAGGGGTGTCCTTTGTCACCTTTGTTATTCATAACATACCTAGAAGGATGAAAGGTCCAATTAAAGGGAAGTGAACTTGGCTTCAACCTCTCTCTCGTCAAACAAGGAAAACGCATTGATCAGGCACTACCAGCATTAATGTACGCAGATATTATAGTGCTAATGGGAAGATTTGCAGAGATTGATGGACAATTGCGGTAGTGAGGGAGATATGTTAGGTTTCAGATTCAGTAAAGAAAAACCAGCAGCCATGATATTTGAGGAAAATGAAGGTTGTGAGCTTAGGATACAGGAAGTCACGCTAGAGATAACAGATAAATACAAATATCTGGGCGTCTGGATAAGCAATGGGACCGAGTATCTGAGCGAACACAAAATATACGAGACGACTAAAGGTAACAAAAATGAAGCGGTAATAAAAAACAGGGCATTGTGGAATTACAATAGGTATGATGTTGTGAGAGGATTATTGAAAGGGGTTATGCTTCCTGGTCTAACCATCGGCAATGCGGTCTTGTGCATGAGATCAGAAGTTCAAGCAAGATTAGAAATTAAGCAACGTGGAATAGGTAGGCTTGCTTTAGAAGCTCACGGGAATACACCAAATTAAAGTGTTCAAGGTGATATGGCATGAACATCATTTCAGGGCAGGGAAGCTAGCAGCAAGATAAAATTTGAGAAATGATTGAGAGAAATAGGGGAGGAGCGTTCGGCTAGGAAGGTTTTCAGCTACTTGTACATGAAGAATGTCGATACAAAATGGAGGAAGCGAACCAAGAAGTTGACTGGTAAATACTTAGAAAACAGCAGGTGGCCAAACCAAAAAGAACTATCGGTTAAAAAAAAGTGAACGAAACGGAGACTGACATTGTGGAAAATTGGCATGATTAAGAAGTCTGCAATAGAAATCTATCGAACTTTTAAGCAGGAAGTTGCCAAGGAAAGAATTTATGATAATACCCGGGGTAGTTCTCTACTGTTTAAAGCCAAGACGGGAGTATTGTGCACCAAGACATATCCGGCCAAATATGGAGGGGTAGACACAATATGCCGAGCATGCGGAGAAGAGGAGGAAACTGCCGAACACTTGATAATGTTTGTAAAAGACTTTCATTCTTTCTACACCTCTTTTTCCACCCTGAACAATGGGGCTTCACCTTAACCTGAACCTTCGTGCTGAACTATAGGTCTTCCTCCTATAGTTCAAGATGATGGCGCACAGAGTTTTTCAAAGCACTGGGGTTTAGCGACAGGGAAGGCATAGTAGCCTTTAAGTGGGTAGAATTAACTAGAAGAAGGTTATCTGATTGGTGGCTAATGTCAAGGCATGAGTTAAAATTAAACCTTTCACAGCGAAGGAACAGTCCTCAATTCAATATTTAGAGGAAAAAAAGAATTAACCTAGTGGTTAGTTCGCTAAGTATACGTCTAGGTAGCGTTAGCCACCGCCCCGTCTAAAGGGTACAGCTACATCCATTCATCCATCCATCCATCCATCAGTCTTACAGAGACCGACCGGAAAAGGCTTCACTTTAGCTGGAAATGTCGAGTGCTTCTTCGGAAGAGAGAGCGCCAATTGTTTCGCTGTACCTGCACAAAGTGAAACAGTGTGAAATTGCCAGCATTATGAACCGAGTTTTGTCTACTATAAATATAATTTGCCAGGCCTTCCGTGATTATTTACTCCGTGATGACAAACCGTGCTACAATACTCGCCTTCGGCTGCAGTAGTCACTCTGTATTTTTTATTTTGTTCCTTTCAAATAAAATTACCATACCTGGAACACAAATGGAAATATTGCACTATAGACATCAATAGGGGGATCGCTCAGTGCTGCCACACCGGATATGCGGGCCTGTCTGTGTCTACGACTAATGGACGGCGCCCACTAAGCCATTGATAAGGCTTGTGCCACGTGCTCCGCTGTTCGCGTTTAATTTGACACTGATAGTACGTGCGTGGACTCCGTATAATACAGTTTTATTTTTGCTGAGACACTGACTATGATAACATACGTTTTTCAACATAACGTATGTGCATATGCACCATGTCGTACATATGAAAAATTCGAGAAAGAAACACATGCAGAAGGACTTGTTCTCGGGCTAGTTGGTGCTTCTTATAGCCATAATGTACAGTGAAAAGACCAAATGAACACACAAAACCACACTTCACAAGTGTTTGCGGCGTGTGGTTCTGTGCCCGTTGACTCTTTAAACACGTTTTATTAACAAACACAAGTAGTTTCTCTTCAGAAACAAAACTAAAGCAAACGAAAAAAATTGATCTACTGCATTGGAACCCGTGACAACGAGGGGCGCGCGCGTGGATGAACGTACAGCGTTAGCCGGCTAAGCTAGAGAAGAGAACGTGTAGTTTGACATATAAAACTGCTCATGCACTATCAACAAAATAAGCGTTCGCATAATCATGAATGACATGCTACCATACTTATTACTGTGACCATATATTTTGTGATTTTCTGTATGCCGCAAGGTCTTCGCGTACTTTATCATTATACCTAGTGTGCACGTGCATCACACAGCGCCGAATCTTCACTTTCGAAATGCGCCACCAACACGCCTGGGTACCTGAATACGTGGCCGACCGCTGCCGTGTTGTTTCCTCGTGCATGCGCCCGTTCACTTTGGCTAACGATGCAAGTTGAAGCAATCAGCTGCTGGTGAGGAAAGTTGATATAACTGTCCACGAAGAGTGAGCAGAGCATCAGGTTGTTCTCTTTGCCGAAAGTTATTACCTAAAATTGAGAACACACTGCGATTTTCCGAAAAGCACGGGCATGCTTGGCTGGCACCGATTACCAAAAGCGACTTGAAGAACCGATGATATTTGCGTCTTCAGGTGTAACTTCATTACAGGAAAGTAATGAAGTCACAACCGAAGCGCGTACCGGCAAACATAGATAGGTACTGTAAATACAAACTTGTCCGTGACTACTACATG